GGAAAATCAAACTCAAGAGGAGAGTTTTGAGGAGTCTTGGATAGTGTCCGTCTCAAGAAGAAAGGATTTTGAGCAAAGATTAGTCTGGGTTAATGACTTTTGATAGTTCCTATCCACATCCACCTTTTGGGTTGAATAGCCAATACCAGGCATGAATTTTTGAGCGGGAGATGTTTCTTTGTCTCCCTTTATGGCCCATTTGCATTTTTATGGCCGGTCTGAAGGATTGGTGCAGTTTTACCCAAAATATAGTACAACTAGTATGATGCATTTCACGATCACATAGTGTACATCATTGTTTGAGGAATAAAGAGCAGATCATTTTGATACCAAGAAAGAAACATCTAGAAGATATTAAACCAGCGATACATTCATACACCTGAATATAAGCATTTAGATCTTAACTAATAAAAATAACGAGTGGTAACTAGGCTAATATAATAGGGAAACATACAGACAACACATGCATATACCAGATACATTTGTAACTGATTGATTATAGTCTAAATAAAGAAAATGTCTTTATGTGTGTGTGTTATGTGTATTGTGTTGCATTGCGTTGGTGCCTGGCACCGGGGTCATTTACGTCTATTTGGAATGTGTTTGAAGTTCGATGGGGAGATGAGAGTAGTGAAACTGTTTAGCATCTCCTTGATAGTGGGGGGAACCATTGGCAATTTAGCACCCATATAAATGTAGCATGTGGGGCCATGTCTGTAATTTATATGCAAATGTCAAAAGGCTAAAAGGAGTCTCTAAGACATAAAACCCCAATGATCATCCATGATTTTAAGGAGATGCTACAGGCATTTTAATATTTTAAGGTTCTTTTGTGTTATTTATTGTATTGTATAACAATGGATAATGAAATACTTTGATAATGACTTTTAATACACCTTTAAATGATACCAACATAAGTGGTTAGTAAATAAGACACAGATTATGCAGTGGTGCAGTCTTATTGGTATCAGAATCAGAATCAGAATCAGAATGAGCTTTATTGCCAGGTATGTCTACACATACGAGGAATTTGTTTTCGTGACAGAAGCTTCCACAGTGTAACAGAATGACAGTGACAGAACAAAAAACACAGCTAATAAAAAAAATTAATAAATAAAAAAATAGAAGAAGTAAAATAAGGAATAAAAAATATACAAATCGACAATCTGAAAGCATAATTAAATTATCCATAATATTTAATAAAACACTGCAACATGCAGAGGCCTGTGAATGATGAATTCTGTGAAGGTGTGGATTTCACAGATTTCATCACTAAAGCCATTATGAGTGCACAACTGTTTTGAAATGTGCTGAATGATGTATACTTACAAACATGACTCTCTTTGGGATGTGGTCTGATTCCACCAGAGGGTTCTTGTAGAGCCATAGTTCCTCAGGTTGGATAACTCTTTCAAAAGGCTCCAGGAACTCTGTGAACCTAAATAAAAGGCAGAGATAATGAGTCCATACACTAGGATTCCTTAAATTCGACATTGAGCAAGCTAAACAAGGTCTTCAGAGTAAGAAAATTACAGGCAGGTAAGTTTGATTTGAAATTGCAGGACAGTGGCCCTAACTGAGGAACCCTGTTATACACATTTTACTCAATGTAATCCACATAAACTTCCAGTGAGTGGTTTTGTATGGATGAGTGGGATTCAATGATCATCACAGAGAAAGAACCAACAGTGAAAAAGGATTTAAGCCTTATCCACTTTATTTTTAACATAAGAGTGGGCATAGAATAAACTTGAATGTGCAATGCTTGCCGTGTCAGTCGCTTCCAGTTATTTTAGATGTAAAAAAACATTATGTTGCTTGATATGGCAAACTGATATTCATTATATTATTTAATTTTATGATCATAATCATGCACACTTGTTCTTTTTTTCTTCTGCTTAATGACACATTTTGTTATTCTTCTATTTAGGGACTGATAGCAGCTAATGATGTGGATATTCAGGGAATACAAAGAACAATAAAATGTATGCAATTCAAGTTGCTTTGGATGAACGCATCTGCCAAATGCATAAATGCACATGTAAAATATCCATTCCAAACCATTATCCATAAAAGAGCATACAAGTTTTAAAACTAGAATAGCTGCAAATTATAACAACAAACATGAGCACAGACAAAACATACAAATATACAGTGTTTTTGTTTGCTCAATTATTCACGTTATTTTTTACTAGAAATTGGTTTTGTGGTTACTGGTTCTGCATGCAGAATGCCAGGGAGAATCATGTGTGAATAGCCTTTAAGTTAAACAATTATTTTCAAATGAAATAAAATGTATATGACAATCAAGAAAATGTTTAGCAATAGCTTATTTTGGGTTTTGTCTTTAATGCTTTTTTTTTTAATGTTTCTGAACGCACTGAACACAAGCACTGAAAAGAGCAATGTTATTCATGCAGCATTAGCTCAGAATTGCTTGTTACAAGAGATTGTGCTTAATTAATCTGTCATGCAGTAGCCTATGCTACTTTACTTAGTCCTGTAGCAATGACCCTTGGGATGAGATTTCGAACACTACATTAATACTTCCAAAATGCAATGTTTATCAGTTATCCTGGCAAACTATTTTGGAGGAGGCTGCTATGTAGAGCTATCTGCATCTTTCAAGGGAGGAAAAGCATGCAATTCCATATGCTAATTAATAAAAGCTAATTAGAGAATGCAGCTAACAATTCTGTTGCACAAGGAGTCTGGCTCATAGAATTATTACAATTACAGTTTTTTTTATTCACTTTGGTACTATTTTTACATGCAACTGTTACATTTTCAAAACTCTTAGTACTAATATCACAAAAGATCATCAAAATTTAATTTTTTTCAAACATTTCAGTTTATTCTCAATTGTCTTAGTACAATACACACAATCATAAAGTATCCGTTTTACTATGTTTCATAGTAAATGTTTCATTCACAGTAACTGCCTTTCATAAAGCTCTTACTATCAAACTTTTCATTTGCATGTCTTCTCATTCAGTTTAATAAATTTGTCTACAGTGTTATTTAATCTGACTCATCTTAATGGTTAATCAGTGAATCATTTGATGCATCTATGGATATCTATAGATACAGATTCAATAGATATAGTTTCTAAAGAACTTGTTTGCAATTCAGGGATAACCAAATATATTGAATTCTTTTTTTGCACTATAAGTTATTTTTCTTAGATGATAACCACTATTTTGTACATGTGTGTGGTTATGGTAAACCCTATGTTATGGGGACAAAATGTCCCCACAAAGATGGCAATATCTGAAATCCTTGTCCTTGTGGGAGACTCAATCACAAAAAAGAACTCCTTTAATGACATCCTCATTTGTAAAACTGTGTATTTTGCAATTTGTGAACATACAGCAGGATAGGGAGAGGAATTTATCAGACATTGATCAGAGATGTATCAGAAGAAAGGAGACAGAAGGCATCAACTACAGAATGTTATATTACATTATGCCATGTGATACTGTATATAGAGGCTAGTGTTGTCAAAAGACCCGGTATTTCGGTACCAAGTCGGTACTAAAAAAATGAAAACGTTACGGTACCAGGTTTTGTGTGGTTATGGTAAACCCTATGTTATGGGGACAAAATGTCCCCACAAAGATGGCAATATCTGAAATCCTTGTCCTTGTGGGAGACTTTAAGGAGTAGGGTTAGTGCAGGGGGATAGAATATTTGTACAACATAAAACTCATTGCTCCTACGAAATGTCACCACAATGATGTGTGTGTGTGTGTGTGTGTGTGTGTGTGTGTGTGCCTAACCATATTTTGGGGATAAATTGTTACCCAGAAGTGAGCAAAACCTGATAAAATCACCAAAAACCTCCCTTTGAGGATATCCTCATTTGTAGAACTGTGTGTTTTGCAATTTGTGAACATACAGCAGTATACAAGGGAGATACATTGATTAGAGATGTATCAGAAAAAGGAAGACAGATGGCATCAAATACATCATTTTACATTACATTATGCCATGTGATACCGTATAGTCTTTACCATAGTAGAGACCGCACATTACTATAAATCACCTTTCATCTGAAAAGTTCAGTTACAGTATAGATTCAGTCAAATGTCATACTGCATTGACAGTAATCTCTGTTCTAGCACAAAACCTTTTTTGACATGTCATACCTTCATCATGATACCGTTTGATACAGTAACACACTGTGTAAATACTTTTACAAACATTATGGATTTTATGTGGGTTATGCAATTTAGGTAATGTAAGTGTATTTTCTTACATGACAAATATTGCCTGTATTACTGTAATTATTTCAGCAACAAAGGTGATTTGAAACATGTATCTTCCATTATTTGCTCTTCAATGAAATACAGAGTTCTGGCATGAAACTCTAGATGGTGCAGTCCTATAGGTCTAGCTCAATCTGACCTGCTGACATCATTGTCACATGGCAGCTGATTGGTTCTCTCCTGTATCGGTAGCCAATGAGCTCGCTGCTCAATATTCAAATACCTGGCTTCTGTTTGCTGTAGCAGTTGGCAGCGCACTTCAGAAACCCTCCACCTTCCCCAGCTCCACCTGTATAGATTATAAATAAAATAATCTTATGTTTTGAAACAATGACTGAGTGGATGAAAATATATGTACATGTAATGAAAGCATGAGAACAGATTTTGAAAGAATGACTAGGGGTGTTACAAGGGTGATCGGTTTGGATATTTGTACTAAGAGTTTTGAAAATAAACAACTTGTGAAAATAGTACCAAAGCGAATTAAAAAACTGTAATGGCAAAATGAATCTTTGGAAATGTAAACTGATATTTCCTACTGACACACTACAGCAAAATAAATAAATAACTGACTTAAAACAATTTTTTTAGCTGGTGAAAATACTAGTGTTCTAATAATTTTGGCCACCACTGTATGTAAACACATGTGTGTGTTTGCTGTATACAACAATTATCCCGAATTATTGATCTTGCCTTTCATTTACATCTGGAAGAGAATTTCATTGATATTTGCTGCACTTGCATCATAGGAGAAAAAATGTAAGAAGTTTGAATCCATGCTTGATAAGCTCCTGTCTCAACATCTCCACAGGCCTCTTCATTTGTGGCTGGTGGTGTTGTTCTGGACAGCAGCAGCGTAGCAGATCTATTCCACTAAGACCAAATACATTAACACTGTCATGTACATTACCATTCCAATCCCTCCGAGAGTTGTCATGACAGAAATATATATATATATATATATATCGTTGTGTGTTTGCTGTATACATGAGTTAGCCTGAATTATTGATCATTGCATTTTATCTAGACTACATATTTGCTGCGCTTGCATCATAAGAGAAAAAAATGTAAGAAGGTTGAATCCATGCTTGAAAAGCTCCTGTCTCAACATCTCCACAGGCCTGTTCCTTTGTGGCTCGTGATGTTGTTCTGGACCACCATGTCAACAATGCTCCTGTTCCATTCAAAATAATCTTGATTGTAATAATAATATTTTATTATTATTATTATTATTATTATTATTATTGCCCATGAGTGCACCAGATTTTGGTTCACCAGTATGTTTTTTTTAATGTATGTTCTAATGTGTGTGTTCATCTTTGCTGAGCTTTGTCAAGCAAAGCATGTCTATAGCCAGCAGGTACTGATAATGATAAACCTTGGATTGCAATCCAGTGTGGCCATTACAGCGGACTTTCAACAGGCTAACAGCATCCCTGTGGACATAGCGTGACCTCCCGACTCTGGATTGTTATCAGGTCTGTCCAGCGTTGCAGACAGCGGAGAGAGAGGAGGCAAAAGTGAGGCTACCGGGTGGGCCTACCTGCCAGGCTGACAAAACAAGACAAAATCCACTGCTCCCAAGCCTATTCCTCTTTAATGCCAGGTCCATCACACACAAAATGGACCAAATGGAGCTACTGATAGCCAACAACAACTCTGTACATGACTGCTATGTTATTAAAATAACTGAGACCTGGCTACATCCAGGGATACGTGACGCTGCTGTACAGCTAGCAGACCACACGCTACACCACAGGGACTGCTCTGTAGTTTCCAGTAAGAGCAGAGGTGGAGGACTTTGCATGTCTGTACACAATGATTGGTGCTCACAAAGACACATCATAGAGAGCCACTGTTCACCTGATAGAGACTCTGACAGTCACATTACTGACTTTCTTACCCACCACAAGAGCAGTTGTTATTACTGCTGTTAACATTCCGTCTGATGCTAACATCAGCACAGCTCTCAGCTACCTACACAGCATTGTTAGAAAACATCATCGGGCCTATCCTGATGGAGTCCATAAAATAGCTGGTGACTTTATTCAGGCATGTTTAAAGACTGTACTTCCAAGTCTTTCCAAACCAGAAACCCTGAATGACATCAGAAGTCCATACTCTTTTCAGAGTTTGTGATATGTCCTTCAAATCAGGTGACAGGGCTCTTAACAGTACTGCGGGAGCTAACCTAAAAAAAGACATCAAAGATGGTAAGCTGGTCTACAAGAGGAAGATAGGGGACCACTTCAGTGGTAACAACATAAGGCAGGTGTGGCAGCATAATACAAACTTCAAGGGCAGCACCACCACTGGCTGTAACACCAGTGCATAACAGGCAGAGGAGCTTAACTGTTTCTTTGCACATTTCGAAGCAAAGTCTCCAACTCAACTCCAACATCCAACCATCTCTTCCTGATACAGACACCCAGGCACTGACCGTACAAGAACATGAGGTGAGACAAGTGTGAATTCAGTGAATCTGAGAAAAGCTGCAGGGCCTGATGGAGTGCTTGGAAAGGTACTCGGGGCTTGTGCCTATGAACTTGCTACTGTTTTCAAAAACATCTTCAATCTGTCACAAGCCATTGTTCTACCCCGCCTTAAATCACCCACTATCATCCCGGTCCCAAAGAAGCCAACAGACAGTCTAAATGACTATAGACCCATTCCTATTGCCACAAAGTGCCTTGAGAGACTAGTACTGAGGCATATTAAAGCCAGCCTCCCTCCCAACTTTGACCCCCATCAATTTGCTTACAGGGCCAACAGGTCTACCGAAGACACCATTGCCGCAGCCCTCCACAAGGCACTGGAGCACCTGGAACACAGAGGGACATATGTCCAGAAGCTCTTCACTGATTATAGTTCTGCCTTCAATGCCATCATACCGGACATACTCATCAGGAAACTCCACCACCTGGGCTTCTCCACTCACCTCTGCACCTGGATTATGGACTTCCTTACTAACCACCCTCAGTCTGACAGGCTCATAGTGGTCTGGACATCTCTGGAGGCGATGAGTCTGCCTACCGAGACGAGGTCTGAAAACTGATGTTGTGGTGCTCTGCAAACAACCTGATGCTAACCACAAAGAAAACTAAAAAACCACCCTGGATTTCAGGAAGTGCAAAGCTGACCCCCTTTCCATCTTCATAAACGGAGACAGTGTAGAAAGAGTGTGCAGTTTTAAATTCTTGGGAACCCTTATATCAGGCAGTCTCTTCTTGTCTACAAACAGCAGAACAGTTTCTTCTTCCCAGAAGTGTACTCTATTTATTAGACACTTTTAACTTGCACTTTCTTATTTTATCTGCTTTATATTCATTTTATGAATGGAATGTGATAGCGTGTTTTAGAAAATGTTGCAACCCTGTATTTCTTTTCAATTTGGAGGAAAAATCGGTTACAGAAAACATATTAAGAAAAATCTTAATCTTTTAATCTTACTATTATGATCAAACATTCTGTTCAGTTCAAACTGGTACATTCATGATCCCCCAACAGGGCCGGTGCCAGGCATTGCCCCCCAAATGAGTTACTGTGAGTTACTGTGCCCCCCTTTCCCTCCTTGCTGAACATGATCATTTCGAAAACAAAAGTGAAAGTGAAAAAAAACAGAGAGCATATGAAAGCGATTGCACACGCTCGTGAGTGTCTTCGACTGCACGCAATCACAGATGGCACGCTTCCAACCCAAAACAAAGTCCCCACCCCCCACTCAACGTGATTTCAGCCCCTCCTAGAAATATAAATGTCCCCCTTTGTAGGTGCCCTGACACCGGCTCTGTCACCCAGCCAAAATGTCAAGTTACACCCATGAGATGTTGTAAATGATTTTTATGCAATGGCATGCAGAAAATTATTCTACCCTCTGGAGAATATTATTGAAATATTTTGATATTACAGCAATCTCTGTGAAAGCCCTAGTCTCTGTAAATCAGGGGATTTCAGATTGAAAGACAGTGGGCCTACCTTATGACACAATGTGCACAATGGTTCCTACGTGAATATATTGAAATGTGTTCATGCAAATATATGTTATTGTGATCAGTGAGCCAAGAGCACACACACAGGGTTTGTTCGTGCATCAATAAAAAAGGATTATTGCATTTTTAATGTACTGTATATCACTGTAATTGTCCTTACCTTGATTACAGTCATCATCCATTTCAACTTTAGTAGCGTAATATGGTTTTCTTCTTATGTTTGCAAAAAATACACAAATACACTACCCTCAGTCAGTGTAATCTTACATTGTAAATACAACAATACAACTAGATCTGCTGGATGCTGCTCTTTTGCAGGTTGTAATTTAGTTTTTATTTGCTAGCAGATTGTGTTCCATTTGGAGTGTGATTAATTTGTGTTTTGGGTAGTTAACGTTCTGTAATAGTGACTGATGTTTTTACATTATTTAAGGTTTTTAAAAAAAAAAATTTTCGAATATAAAATTATGGTATTCTAGTTTATAATTACATTAATAATTTCAGTGATATTTATTCACACATACCAATCATAGGTCAAAACACTGCTAAATTTTGTCTAAATTATAAAGTCATAATTGGTACTAAACGAAGAGCCATTTGGGAGTTGAAAAAGTCAGTTCTTATTGCTGAGCTGAGCCAAATGATACAGTTCCCTAAAAAGAGCCAGACTTTCCATCACTAACACTATTATTTCTGCTGTCTCTGAATTTTCACTTCATTAGCACTGTTTTGAACTGACTGTTTAAATGCATCCATTTACTGGATCCTTAGACTGAGGCAGAACGGAGCACTCTTTGCTTGTCAGTAGTTTTTTGTGTTCACAGAGATTGAAAATGAGAGCATGCTAAATTAACTTAAAGTGGTTATCATGAGTTTGGACAGTGGTGTTTACTGCATTTA